ACAGCACTAATATATATATATATATATATATAAGAATTGATATTAATAATAGGCTCTTATATATAGTAGGTATTAATATTTTTATTAAGATAGCACGGTTCCAACTAAAACGTTAACATAAAGTATGGAAATTAAATTATAAATTCAGGGGGGAAAATCACTGCAAAAAAATATTGTTACATGATACGTTCCTTTTCTTTCACATTCAGTTGGACTTCATTTATGACACCAATAAAGGAGCGATCTTGTAGGAGGTCTGCACTGTGTGAGTAAATGCTAATGTTTGTGTGTGTGTGTGTGTGTGTGTGTGTGTTTTGGCTGTAATCCACGCAGTCTGTTTGATCTGACAGGCATTTGAGCAGCCTCTGATTATTACAGATTTACACTAACTGTGTTGCTTATTTTGCAGTGGCGGCACTGAAAGCCTGCATTGATTTCCATCTTTGACCATCAATCCTGAAGTACCGCCCAGCAGAGCAGGTGATTAACGTTTCAATTACCCAAACACTCTCGTTTTAATGGCAGGTACATGATTAATGTGAGTATGAAAATACCTTTGGGAATGATTTGGGAGAGCTCTCATAAAGAAAGAGAACAAAGAACTTCATAATAATAAACTAATTCAGAGAGTTAAAATGCCTGTTCTACTGCCAAATTATTGAGATAATTTACACATTGCTCGTTAAACTTACACAGTTTGTATTCAATCCATGCCTTTCGTAAATACAATATACTAAACCTGTTCCAAAAACCAAGTGAACTGCCTCAGTCTACTGGGAGCAACTGTCATATTATTTAACATCACTGAATCAACCTAAATGCATTAATTTACACCAACAAAACACATTTTATGGATTAAATCAGGTAGAAACAATTGCTGGGGACCACTTTGAGGTTGATTTTAGCATGTTGCTAAACTAATAATGTGACACTCAAGCATAAAAATACACAGCACACACAAATATTGATTAAAATGATATTTTTTTCATTAGTCTGAACTGTTTATATTAACACTTGTCATTTTTAAATGAAATATAAGTTCATGTGTAATCAACATTTCACTCGCTTCATCCACAATTGATATTTTCACTGAGCTCTGCATTCTGGGAAGGATCTATATGATGCTGCCATAGAATCTGTCCAAAAAGATGCATCTTAAAAAGCAGCATAATTAAGTTGCCTATCTTTTCGAGGAGCCTTCATGTATATGTTTTGGAGCAGAGCAATTGTGTCTTAATATTTCAATTCACCCTTTGTTATTGCAGTCCCCTCCAAAGCCTAGACGTGGTGTTGAAAGTGTGTCTGGTTTGTGCCAGCTCTCATGTCACACAGCTAAGCGGATCTGCACGCTGTGGGAGATGGGCCATGAAGGAATCAGTCAGAGGCTGATGTCTTTGGTTGACCCACTGAGTGAGGGACGGGGCAGTAAGTGTCGTGTTGAAGGTGTCCAGACACATTTGTCACAATGAAATAGGAGCTCGGCTCTTTTTCCCTCCCATTCCTTGTCTGCCTGCTCCCTCAGAGCCACATTAATGCTGATATAGAGCGATAAGCTACACTGATCTGAGGAGAGAAGAGCGAACGACCATATCAGCTGACTCTACGGACGCAACATGAAATTGAATGTACTGGTTGGCACTGATTAAGTTATTTGTGATGGTCAAATTAAAATTTTCATATACTTTTGCTAGTGCTCTTAGTCTTTTAAAAACATTCAAATTAATTTCATGCAACACCTATTTAAATTTAATGCAAATAATAGTATGTTGTGAATATTTACCAAATTACAGTACTTTAAAGACATTACTTTGGCAGCAGAGTAAGTTACAAAAAAGTCCCTTTACAAGTTAAAATATTGTTTTATTTATTAATAATAATAATAATACATTAATAATTAATTATAGCTCTGTTTGGACTGACTTTTTTATTTTATTTAATTTTTTACAAAAATGCCCTTTAGAAGTCAAAATATTGTTGTTTTACTTAAAATAATAATAATAATTATTATTATTATTAATAATATAATATAATATATAAAATAAATATTATTATTAGTAGTAGTAGTAGTAGAAGTAGTAGTATATG